CCGCCTCCATGGTCGCCACACTCCACCAGACAAAGTCCTGGAAGGACGAGTACAGCTCCATGGAGTCAGTGCCAATGAATGGCACTAGGCACCCCCTCCTCTTTGTCTGTAAACGACACATGAACACAACATGAAAGCTGTTTCTCCCTTCTCCAGTGTCTCCAATCATGATAGCTGTAGCAAAATGTAGGTAAGTGCAAGACGATTTGTCAGAGAAAGACAAACCTGTATTTGCGAAGTGCAAGGTGGCAGAAGACTAGACAAATTACTTGCACTTTGGGACCAAATATAACTATAAAAGCAAGAAAAAAAATTAATCAAAAAAGGATTAACAAGGAAATCATATATTGTCAACATTGCCTTGGGTGGGTCTAAATTTTTCATCTCGCACAACCTAAATGCATTGACGTAGTCTTTCAATGGCTACAGCTGCAAAAGAAAAAGAAATAGAAAAAATAAGAAAGCAGTAGAAACATTAACCATACTTACAAAGACATGACAAGTTGAGGTCTCAAACATTGACTAGCTTAAAATAGTGTCAATAGTAGTTGTCTTAGAGTAACTGCTACTAAATTTTATCGCTCTTGGATAAAAATCGTGATGTCCAAGACTCATGTTGCTCCACAAAAGCATCAAACACACGAACTAGTGCCACGACATCCTCAGATTCCGGGCCACCAGTACCACTACTTGGTCGTAAACAAGATTGCCATGGTTGCACATTCCAAAAACTCTAAAGATCCTCCTCTCCCTTGTTGACTTTGTGTTGACTGAAAAATGCATCTAAGTCATATATTACAGTCTCCTAGAGAATTCTGTAGATTCAGACCCAGTTGTCAAATTATAAAGCAGCCAACTCTACAAATGCCGCCCATAATTCCTCTGGTTTTGCAGCCACACTACTACTAATAAGAACCAACGACTCCAAACAAGTTTGTAGTCGGCGTCTTCATCTGTCTATATAACATGTAGAATCATGGAGCCAGTGCAGATTGTATTGGCTATGCTTGAACACCTGGTTATATTAACAATTCTTCATGTTGTGTACATCAGCTTTTGGATGCTAAGAAGTGAATCGATGCGCATTCCACAATGATCACAGAAAATTCTCCAAATGTCTTTCCATGGGGAAACTTTCTTGTGGATGATGTCGTGCAAATGTTGAGGACGTCCTGGCAAATTTGACCAATGTGAGCGTTTAAGAAGCAGGTTTACGGATTACGCATTGACTATTCACTACATGCCTAGTTAAAACAGTGGTACTGCTACGTATTGCTCGGAGGAAAAACTTGGATGACAATGCTACTGCTCTGCAAACGCTGTCACGTCGACCATCCTGTCAGTCACAAACGGTTCCACACTCTTCTTTTCCAGAGCTGGACAACGACCACACATGGCACCACTTGCATCCAAATATAATATTTTACTCTATATAATAATTAAACCATAGATCTGACTCTCATTTTGCTATTAGCTTATCTGGCCTAACGTAAAATTGACTAGGAATATATAGTACCATAGATCTGACTCTCATTTTGCTATTAGTTTATCTGGCCTAACGTAAAATTGACCAGGAATATATAGTACCAGGGTGGTACGTTTTTAAACTTGTTTTATACCATACGGATGGAGTTAAAAGTAAACAACTATGCTACACTACTACTAGCTGATTGCCCTCAATTAATACAAGCCCATCAACATCACGTGTTTAATTTCTTGTTTCTTGGAAGCTTCCAATAAAATATTCTAGCCTATCTAAAGAATATGTGTGTTTTTTTTCTCCCAAAACATTTGATTCTCTTCATCCACAAGCTTGACATTTAGTATGCCTTGAGGAAGAAGTACTCCTACAAAATTATCAGTCCTGCCTTCTCCAAAATGGAATACCAATTTTTGGTATACCAATCCAAACTCGCAGCATTGTACAAGCAGCTGATGCATTGCTTAAATCGGTATCCTCAAACCACTGGTGTGCTAGACCAAGTTCCAGAACACCACACAGCCCAGTGTAATTTGTTTCGGCACAATTGCGCAAAAAGTGGCTTTCTGCGAATCCTTCCCTGTGTAGCTTCCAGTTTTGATAGCAGGGCACCTTCTCGAGGTGGGCAGGGAGCGATGGCGCTGTTAGATTCGACCGTCCTCTCCAGCGTTTGCTCCTGAATTGCAATGGCCTCTTCTGTTCGCCCCGCCATCGCGAGTGCCCAGACGAGCGAGAGCGTGTCAATTCACGCAACCGGCAAGCGCGATCGTGGCGGCCCAGCTGCATGTAGGCCACAAGAGCGTCACTGAGAACTTCACGGCGTCTCTCACCGGCGCCGATTCAAATGCGATGTAAAGATCTCCTCGTTTGGCATTTGCAGCGATTGTCAAAGTCGTAGAACAAACGTCTCTCATGGGCATCTCTTCCAGCACACGAGGAGTTCTTTCGCTAAAAACAGCGACTGCGTGTGCCTCTAGAAAACTGTTCTAGGAGGTCACATCCCACTCCGGCATAGAATCAAACGCAAACTTTGTACTTTCTACATCTCCACTTTCGGCATAAGTCGCAAGCACAGAGTTCCAAGCTACTAGATCTCTGCAGGGCATTAGACTAAACATTGGTATTGCTTGTCCTACTTCATTGTTCCTTTTGTAATAGGCAAACATGGAATTCTAATAGACAATGTCAGGATCAAGAAAGATCATCAAACAATGCTTTTGTTTTGGCCAAATGCCCACTTTTGGCACGATGCATTCCAGGCTACGGTATTTGCCACGGGGCTCCTCCGCCCACTCAAGATTGCCGTGGCTCACATGCACAACCAGCAAGGTTGTCCATTTGGATTGACAATGCTGTAGAACACCTCGACAAGGCTCCCACATTTGCTGTACATGTCCAGCAGATTTGCAAGGGACATGCTGCCGCTGCCCAGCACTGGAGCATGGAGTTCCTGGAAATCCACGTCAAGGGCCGCCAGTATCAAAAATGATTGCCATGGTTGCGCATTCGGAGATCTTCCACTGTTTCAGCCTTCCCTGGGATCTTTTTCCTTTAAGCGTTGTTTATGTTAATTCTGTGAGAATCTACTTTAATAATAATAATGTTTATTTGGAGTTAAATTAAAATGTTCTTCTTCTTCTTTTTCCTCATTGAATTTGTTGTTATCTATTTTATTCCATGGGAACGAATAGAAGAAATTTATGGAAGGCTTGAGACCTCCGGTTTATTATTCCTAGAAACTCCACAACACGAAAGGCTGCTGATCATGCGTTTTTCCATTAGGATCTGCCTCCCAAACACAGTGCATGGTGAGATATAGCTCCTCACAACAAAGGCAAATTTTCAGCCGCAAACTACTTGGCTATAGCCAGGAAGTGGCTGCGACATCAAAAGGTTTTATGGCGCAACCATGGATACAACATCCCAGATGGTCCTCCCAACGACGCTGAAGAGAACGAAGACGGAGCAAATGTCGAGGAGAATGCTCGCAGATGCCCAAAATGCAATGCAATTGACGAGAACAATCCAAATACACCACTCAAAGTCAAGTACTACTTTGAGTGTGGTTGGAAGATGCCCACAGAAGAAGACTAGCTCACTTGTCTTTTTATTGTCGAGTGGTTTTGTTTCTTTCACTTGTCTTTTTATTGTCAAGTGGTTTTGTCTCTTTCAATTCCAGCAATTCTTCTTGTTTTTCCTCTCAATCTCTGACTACATCAGTCTCCTTGCCTCCATCGCGGGCATCCAAGGCCGGGCTTGCAATCTCTGTTGCAGCATGGCGGCCCAGGAGAAGATGCACAGATCGATCGGCGGCCTCCCCCTCTGGCGATGGTTAGTATTTCCAGCGAATGGCTCTTCCCAAAGCGAGCGGAAAGGTCTCCCTGTGGAACATGATCATCGCCGCTAGTGTTGATGTGACTGGATCGTTGCATAAACTTTTCTCTTCTGTATGTGATGTAGGGAGGCATGGAACGACAAGTTTTGGTGGAGAACGATGCTGAAGCTGCAAGGCTTGCTGATTCCTCTCGGGCCAACGTGAAAGAGATTCTTCCACTTGAATCGCGACTTATCTCGATTGACAGCCGAGATGGTTTCCATTGAAACTCAGAAGAGAGAGGCTGGGGATTTGATCCAAGCGATAAGGCGTGGCCTTGAAAGCTGTGTGGTAATCGTTGGGCGAGGCTGAATCTCTATCCGACGTTTGTGCAGGCGAAGCAAAGAGATACTCAAAGCCTTCTTTTCAGTAAAGAGTTTTGCCTTCGTGACTTGAGGAGTCAGGCTGAGCAGGCTGCAAGAGGAGCCATGCCAAACATTGGAGAGCTCAAAGGCGATATAATCGTTAAGTTACAGGAGAATTCATCCGTCCAAGATATCTGACTTCGCAAAGTTTCCAGGCTACGGAAGCTGAAGCGCGGAAACTGGAACGGGAGATTGAAGAACTCCGAGCCAAACATGCCGATGCCCAAGCCAGGAAAGAGCTTTCCTTATCTCGGGCTTGATTCTTTTGAAGGTAGCTTACAAATTCTTTTCCATCTCGTGTGTGAAAAAATGTTTTTTTTTTCCCTCAGATTCAGCTAGACATGATGCAGAAGCTCTCGAAAATTCTGCGTCTGAGCTCCGAGCTTTGCAGGACAAAGCAGTAGAAGTTTCTCAAGTAAGAACTGAAAAGATTAATACTTTGTAACTTGTTGTTTTTTTAACGTCAAATTTAATCCATACCTGCGAACATCGTACAAACTTCTCTTGCATCTCCACGGCATGTTGCTCCAAACACCGCTTTCTAATTCGTGCTTCGTTCAGAAAAGTTTCCTTATTCTCAATACCTCCTTTCAGCTCCTTTTCCTCAACGGAAATCTGTAAGAAAACATAAAATATGTTAAACTAGAAATGAAAGCAGTGACACAGTGATGATGTGGGTTCGCAATCTTTCTGCTCGTGAAATATTCCATAACCACTATGACTACGTCTCGAATGAGTGTCATCGAGACTACAGTCAAGATAGTTCGTTTCCAGGTTGGAGATGACTCTGACGAGCTTCTTGCGCAGCTCCAGGAGAGCTAGAATGATCTCGAAGGGAGTGGGGTTGTCTACTCTCTCGAAGGCAAAGAAAGTCTTGGCTCTTTGCGATTGCTTCCAAGATGAAGTCTTTGAGGCTGTCATAGCTAGCGTGAGGATCACTGCTAGTTCTTTCATCCATGCGGAGGGATTGCTCAGGTCTGAGCTGACACGGAGGCCAATTCAAGCTCAGTCGCAGCGAGCACCAAGGTGCCGGTCAATGCTTGTCTAGCTACAAGGCAAGCCAAAGACCAGCACTTTGAACAGCGCGCGTTTTGGCTCGAGGTAGAGGGCAGTGATCAGGAGCTCGTGGTAGAGGGCGAGGCCGTGGATTTGCACACATGCCATTCCCTCAAGCAGGTACATCCACTCAACTGGCTACAGGAAAGAAAGGACCGAAAGGAGGGACACCATAGCAAGTGGTTTGAGCGGATGGGTCAGGGCAAGTAGCAGCAAATGCCAATGTCCAGTGGTGCGAATCTCCTCATGAGAACATGCACAGCAAAATGGGGGAGCCTGGTCGAGGTCGCGACCACAAACGTTTTCCTCCTGGACGATCTTGCTAATTGCGTATGCCGTCTCTATCGACTGGAGGTTGATGCCCGTAGCTTTTGCATTGGTCACAGTACATGAGAAAGAATTTGTTTGAAAGAATTTGTTCGGACAAACATCAAAGCCGATGTGAGGAGAGGAGGCAATGGCTCAAGTACTCGAACATGTTCCACAGAAAGTTCCTACAGAAGAGAGGAGACGCAAAGACAAGTTTAACAAAGAGAAAACTTCTCAGTCAAGCAGGACTGGAAGAAATTGACTGCCGAGTTTACACAAAAAGCCCGTATTAAACATGACTAATTAAATCGATTGAAACCTGATTTGTAAGCTTTAGGGTTTTGTGTGTTAGGAATCCACGTTCAGTTGCACTAGACGGCTGCAAGAAATCACCTTCCATTAGATCGCCGCTGTGGAGCTCGACGCAATGCCACCCGACGACCCAGCGGCGGCTGGGGCATGGGTTGCTTTTGATCCTGAGGCGACAATCGGTGCCAAGCCGATGATCGATGCCGAGGCAGTGATTGCTGATGTGGAGTAAGTAATGCATGGATTGATCTCCTAGAATTCCAATTCCAATTTCTCTTCGTATGCGCAGTACCAATGTTGACTGGACGAGAGCTTGGGTGCGGAGTGACGGTAGAGCTCCGTTTGAAGAACGAGAGCTGTTTATCTATCCAAGGCAAGTCTTGTGTGTAAAATTTTGGTTCTTTCCTCCTCAATGGTCTAGTATGTGCACAGGGCAAGGGGCACTCTCTTTGCCAGGAAAGGAAGCAGTCGAGTGTGGGCGAGCGTGAGCACTCACACACAGCTCACCGTTCGAGTTGAGGTCGAGTCTGACTGTCGTCTTCCAAAATTTCGACCGGCATATCAACTTGTCAACGACGTGAAAAGCATCATCGAGTTATATTTCTCAAGGCAAGCTGTTTTCTCAAAGGGGCTGCAAATTCACATCAAGATCCATGATTATGAAGGGTATGTGTCTCTTTGGATGCATAATCTTCATCCTCGTGCCTCTGTGGTTTTTGGTTTTTTTTTTTGGAATTTCAGGAGTGTCATTGATGTTTCTTTACTTGCTGCTATAGCTGCTCTTTTATCCTTGGGAGATCAACGTCTTACTGAGACAGTGAGTCCACAACAGTTTTCTAGAGTTGATTTAGATTGAGCATTGATTTTCAGATCATACATGATGTCCCAGTTGCCATTACTTTCGGATTTTTTACCTATGGAGGGCCAGTTGTAAGCTATTTCATTTTTCTTTTCTTTTGTTCTACTTGATTGTGATGTATTTCTATGTTCTACTTACAGGTAGTAGATCCAAGTAGACGCGAAGAAGCTCTCATAACAGGGTCTTTGACACTGATTGTGACACAAGCCGGAAAACTCCTTTTCCGGAAGAAAGAAGGGGTGGTGAAGTGGAGCGAACTACTTTGGCCTGTTTTACAGTCCAGGGTTGCGGATGTTTCACTTCTGAAAGAATGGGTATGTTTTTCAGCTTTTTGTTCTTTCTGATGATCAAAGACTATATGTTTTTGTAGGTTGAGAGGCAGGAAAGTCTCCAGAACTTCTACAAGACCAAGGAAAAGCCTTTTGCAGGGTTCATAGGCGTACAGAAAACCTGGTATGGTTCATTTCATCATTTTCAAATGAAACTGAATGGCAGTCTTGGAATCAGGAAATACACGCCCAAGAGATTGACCACACCTCGTACCAAAAGGTTGGATCTATTCGCTCAACACTCAAAAGTTACTCGACTGATTGGAATTTTTTTTTTCCTTTCCAGCCATATCAGCCTGGGTATAGCAGCTCGACAACTTCCTCTTCCACTCCCTTATTGGGCGCGTGAGCGCAATGAGTCGGCTGGTGAACATGTGTCCATTCGAAGGATTGATGCCCTCGCACTCCGTCGTCTCCAGCTGGAACAGCGTAAGTAAACTTTGTTTTCGTTTTGTTTCTTAACACATTGGGAACTAATTCTAGGACGAAGGGTGAGAGGTAGTTCTAAACTACTGAAAATTACAATATGCTTTTCCAATGGGAGAACTCCAGCTGGTGGACAAACGAGCCTGGGTTTTGAGTTTGCCCACCTGCTGGTGAGTCGTGGTATTAGTTATGGATAGATTATTTCTGATATTTTAATCATAGGGTGCTTTCATTGAGAGAGATTACGTGGGGGACGCGTTAGTGACATCAAGGTCACTTGTAGGGGACCTAGTCTGTTCATGGGCACCCCTTCGGCCAAAAAAAGAACACCCCTGGGATTTCTTACGACGTTTTGAGACAACAATGAGAGAACACTATCCGAAAGAAAGCATTTTTCAGAGCTTAACCGACGCAAAACATTGGTTGAAAAAAGAGGAGAAGTCTATGAGGGTAAACATCGATACATTCAGGCTATTCTATTCTGTACTCCTTTCTTTTTCTTTTTCGGTTAACAGAAGGTACTTGAGAAAAGCAAGCGGACTTCAAAGCCAGGAGATGACTTGCCTTTTGAGCTGTGCACACGGGATGTAACAGTTATTGGCTGTTACATCCCTTTTGTCATGGAGGAGCCAAAAGGATATGATCCCCCAGGAGAATGGGGAACTGAGGAGGAGGTTTGGTTTCTTTGTTTGTAACATAAAGCTAACACGTGAAATTTGCAGGAAGATAAGAGGGAGAAGGAACTACTAGCTTTGATGTTTTATCCAAAGCTAAAAGATGAAATTTTGACGACGATGCTGGAGCCTGGTTTGAAGTTGTTTGAAGTTCACTTTGGCCAGAAGATTGGGAACGGCTGGACTTGTTTCTACAAGAGGCGAGACACCCTGAACTGGGAGAAGAAGAAACACAATGTTTGCAGTGTGTGAATAATGATAAAAGCTAAACTACTTCTTATTTCTCTCTCGTTTTTATAAGAACCCTGGGTATGAAGATTATTCTAAGAAGATCACAATATGTTAATATGATATTTATTAAAGAAGAAATCTTCTCGCTCAAAAAAAGAAATGGAGAGATTTCTCTGCTCTATTAGTAGTGCATTTCCTCTTCGTCATCTTAGTCATTATCATCCCAGAATGCTAATTGCGCACAAAGTGGCTCTCTATTTGCACCACTAACTGTGAGAAGGAGTTCCACATCAGCGAGAAGGAAAAGAAGGAAAAAGAGGCAAACATGGGATTCCAAGAGACAATATCAGGAGCAAGAAGACCATCAAACATCGCTATTACTTTGGCCAAACGCCTGGTTTCGGCACAATGCATTAGGCTAAGGGGCTCCTCCGCCCGCTCAAGATTGCCATGGCTAGCATGCGCAACCAGCAAGATTGTCCAGGAGAAGACCATGAGGTAAGTGCTGTCCAGCACTGGAGCATGGAGTTCCTGGAAATCCGCAAGTACCAGAACTTGGTTGTGAAAGAGATTGCCATGGTTATGCATTGGAGATCCTCTACTATCTCGGGGGATAATGATTCCATAACTATCTTTTTCTCCATATTAAGTTTAACATGGTACTCAATTTAGACAAGAATATTCCCTGAGGAGGCATTCACTTGGGTCGTTTTTCCAGGCTGACTGAAATGTGAGCTCTATGTTGTCCACGAGAAGCAGTATGCGGTGGTGAGCTGGATGAAGCCTCTTGAAGTGATGAGCATCACTTGGCAACATCACAGCTTGAGGCATCGCTAGACAATTGGTACAGCTGCTTGAACAAGCTTGTCACAAGCAAGATATGCGGCTGGGTGCAGCTGTGTGTGATGCTGTTTGAGGATGTCAAGGACTCTGCAACTTTCTTGGCTGGATTGTCGACTCCTAGTTGTGGTATTCCAACAGAGAGCATGGAGCCAAACCCAACCCACAAGATTTTTTTATTTAGTAAGGCCCATGATCTTCAATCAAATCACAGAGAGAGCATTGAGCCAAATCCAACCCACAAGATTTTTTATCTAGAGAGGGCTGATCTCTAATCAAATCACAAGACACACCAAAGAGAGTAAGGAAGAGCCAAATCCAGCCCACAAGATTTTTTATCTAATGAGGCCTACAATCTTTGCTTGAGCATCTTGTGTAAAAGGATATAGATGTGTTGAAGAAGATATTGTGGGTTGTACCATGATTTCTTTTTTAGCATCAAAATTAGTTCATATAAAACTTATGATCATTGTTACGCAAAATTTGGTTATAGGCTTCTTCAAGCTTTTGGTTCTTTGAGTTTTCATGTTCATTGTTTCATTTGTTAGAAGTTATTGAGGAAGGCATTTTAGCTCATTAGGTTTGATGTTAAAGTTGGCTTTTGCATTTAGCAATCATTGGTGATGATTGACTATCATTTAGGATAGTTGATTATCCTTGTTAAAAAGTTTTGCTTGATTGTTATTAATATAGAATAAGTTGCTGTTATTTGGGATGGTGGATTCTGCATATCTCCTTTTGATGGGATAATTGATGATATTTCATGATGGTTAGTTATTCTTTTTAATGGCTTATGGTTTTTTGCAATACCATATATTCTTTGTGGTTTGCTTTGAATTAGTCTCTTGGGTTTGAAACATCAGTAGGATGTTGCTAACGCTTGTTTGAGCAACTCTGGTTCCTTAGTATTGTTGATTGGAATTTATTCAGATTGGCTTTTGTGATAGTTAACATGAATGGGTGTTTGTTGGTTTTACCGCACATTCTATTCTATTAATTATTGCTCGAGTTAGTTCTGATAGATTGGGATGTTATTTCCTTTGGTGATACATTCGCGAGTATTGTGTTTATCAGTTAATGATACTTTGTGTTCTTTAAGTTATTTTTAATAAGTTGTTTGGCTTACTATTTACCATCTTCAGTAGTTAAGTTTCATCATTGCATTTCCTTGATGATATCCTTGTTATTGAATTTTGTTGGATGGTGATTCTTATGTTTAAGTTATCATTCAATAAACTAGTATTATAGTACAGGAACCACTAAGATCATCAGAATTGGTACGTGGAACATTTGTGTTCTAATTTAAGATTTATTCACTGATAATTAAGTCTCTAAGATATCATTGTCTCTGACTTTGATATTGTCCATTTATTGATTTTTCAGTTTGGGCCAATATAGGCAAATTAGCTTTGGCATTTCGTGTGTATGGTGAAATATATAGTCATAGGGTAGCTACTGTCGATTGGTCACATAACTCGCCTCTCTATCGATGTTCCTTATTCCGTTCAAAAGGGTGTGACCGTGTAAACAACTTTAACTGCCTATTTACAATAGTCTATCTAAACCTTACTAACAGGTTTGGTTTTTTTGCTCATGAGGGTTGGGGCCTTTGGCTTCTCTCTCTATGTCCCTGCAGGCAGGGGCATATCACACTTTTGTAAGCTGGGTGACAACCAAAGCAGCAAGGGTGGATAACTCCGTTGGTCATTTCCTTGTCAGCGACGGCCGGAAGGTGTCTGAGTGGGTAGCGCATCTGCATTAGACAAAGAGGTTGCCTCTTAACTCATTTAAGTTGGTGCATTTCTCGTGTGATCATCATGAACTTTTTCTGGAGTTGTTTCGTTGGCGGTGGTCTAAACTCGAATATACATCAACGAGGACGTCGATCTTCCCTAGGGGGGGAGAGTGTCGTGAATGTAGCTTCGGGTATCGAAAGTTATCTGTTGGCCAGTCCTTACAGACATTTTTTCCTTACTGCCATGATGCAAGAGGTTGGTATTATTGATTCCCTTTATCAGCCCCTCTTGTTCAAGTGTTAGTAAATTGGGCTTAGCACTTGTACTTAGCCAAATGGACATAAGGTAGGAACTCCTATG